CAGTAAGGAAGCAGTGGGTAGCCCATGAAACAAGCACAAAGACTCGGCAACCAAAAACTGGATGTGCACTTCCTTATAGCAGCAAACAAAGAAAATAAAGGGAAAATGCAGTTACCGAATGAACATCTGAAGTTAAGCTTCATTATTTGTTTGATCATTTATGGAAACCATTGTGCCAATGCTTTTTTTTCATTTTCCTCATAACACTGAGATGATCCTTGGTGTTTAAAAAAAAAATGCTCTGCAATGACGTTTTGATTAAATTGCAAAAAAAAAAAATGGAGAGGAGGAACTCTCAAGATTATTACCATCTCTGCTTTTTTATGATCCTGTATCTTCCTCTGTGATTTTCTACTTCTGCTCTCTGCTTTATCATTTTTGCCACTATTTATGGTTCTCTTTCTTCCTGTCCAAAAAAAAAAAAAAAAGAAAAGAAAAGGGTAAGTTGTAGGTGCAGCAAATTACTCCCATTAGCAATGTTTATAGCAGAAAAAGAAAGCGTTTTTCCATCTCTCAGCCTGAGGATAATTCAGCTTGCTTATACAGCATTCATAGATCCACTGTTCCCAGGCTCGTGTTCTTTCTATTTCTCACTGTTACATCTCCATTTCCCATAATACTGTGCCTTCTTCCTGTAATTTGCCTTCTGTCCGAGCTCTGAGGTGCCTGCTCTCTTTGTGCCCCGAACACTTTGGATGCTCTCCCCGCTTCCTCTCTACTTAGTCTGGTTTTATATTTTCTTACTTTTTTTCTCCATTTTCCCCTGCACAAAGATACCTTTTCTGCTTTTAAAGTAATTAAATTAGCAGAGCTGATTGAAATCTAGGTGAACTAATTCTCTGAGCACTGTGCTTTTCAACGGATGCATCACTCAATGCACATTAGCCAACCTTCTGTAGACCTCACTGAATGACAGAAATGATTATTTCATGAATATATTCAACAACAATAGCGTTATTCAAACCCTTTACCCAATAAATTACATTCAGCACGCTCAGAAGGTAGTGGTGCATTCAGGTTGCTCTGTTTGCTCAGCAGAGCACGTGTGCAGCCTTAAGGGGGGAAACCAAGTCACTGATACATCTGAGGGGAACAGGGGGTGTGGAGGCTCTTCTGGTCATTTGTGTCTCTAGTGAGCAGGACAAAGCGTGTGTGTGGTGGTGGTGGTGGGTGTTTAAGTCACATCTAGGGGATAAGTGACGTTCATGAAGAGGAAGAGAGATTACCTTCTCCGTTTCCTGGCCAATAGAAGCAGCCCAGATACCTGTTTTCATGCTCATCTCTAGTATTTCAGCTAGAAATGAGTAAATAAATCGTTATCTCTAATCTTCAGCTTTTGTCCAAGTTGGGGTGTGCGTGTGTGTATGTGTATGGAGCAGGGGGTTGAAGTAAATCTAACTGCAAATCCCTTCTCTTCACTTCTTGCTCCATTCAACTTTTTCTGGAGCGCTTGGAGCAAATAATCTTTTTTTTTTTTTTTTCTGTTTAAGACTCTCTAGTGCCTCCTTTGTAACTTCCAGTAGAGGCAAAGTCTTTTTGTGATCTTTATGTCCACAGTACCAAATAGATACCCCTTTGACCCTTTTGTTGCTTTTTTAAACCTTTGAGTCATTTCATTGTTAGCCTCAACATTGGACATGACCTTGATGGAAATTGATGTCATCTACATTTTCCACAATCTACTTAATTTCTTTAGCCGGCTTCCCTTCTTGCCTCCCTTTGATTCATTCTGCACAAAATGAACCTCCTCCGAATGCTAAGGTTGAAATCTGTCTTTGGCTACATGAATTTGGATCACATTTTTTTTCCTCTCTTGTCCTTACTTTAGTCAGAATGTAATTGTGCTCAAGTGTCGCGCCCTGACACTACCCTTGGCATCTGCTTCCACGTGTACTGCTGCTTCTAGAAGTGTTACAAAACCTCATACCACTGTCAATTTTTTCCTAACCGCTCAATTGTGTGCTTATTCAAAGATTTCTCTTTTTTTTGTTGCTGTCTGAATCTTCACCTTGCCCTGAATTTCAGACAGCCCATACAATGTCTTTGTCCTGTCTAGTCTCAGCTAACTTACCCTCTCATCAGTCTGCCTGTGCTGTCCCATGAAGTCAATTTTCTCCTATTCACCTGTTGAATAACTCCTTATCTTTCAACTCTGGTTTACTTTTTCCGTTCCATATGTTCTTTGCAATGCTTCAGTGAATTAATTGTATTTCCAAAGGATACAGAACGATCAGTTAACATCCACAACCTTCTATAGCAACAGCGGTGTGTAAAGCAAACATAACCTTTTAACGGCATGTTTACAGCTCCTTTAAACAGAGGAGCTGTGCTGGTTACAACCCAAACAATATCACAAAACAGGCCCGGTGGCCCTTTAGGCTTGCGGCTGAAAGTTGTCCTACACCACCGTTTCTCAGCATCAAGTGAAGGCTGCAAGTGGAAAAACACAACCAAAGCTTCTGGCTGCAGAAGCACCACTGGCCACAAGACCTGCCCTGCAGTCCTTTCAGTTTCTGATCAACAGAGCACATAGACGAGGAACCATCTTTAGTTCTGTGAAATCCCTGCTGCCTCACTGCCAGACATCTAGGTACCAGAGTGCGTTGCTGTCTTTCAAAATAGCTTTGCGGCAATTTCATCCATCCATCCATCCATCCATCCATCCATCCATCCATCCATCCATCCATCTTCTGCCTAGCTAGATTTTGCCCGTTGCTTAAGATCTGCTGGAGCTTTTAGTCAAATCCTTGGTCCCTGTTTTCTTTGGGCAGGACTTTCTTTTCCCCTTCACATTCTTCTCCTCAATGTGGGATTTGCAAAAGAAGGTATAAAGTTGTTCTTTTCTAATCTCTCTTGCTGCTCAGGTAAGGAAGCAGCAGCTCAGCTTTGGGAAAAGACACCTCAATGTAAATTTCTCCATCTGTATTGGGGTATCTCCATGGCCTGATTTCCACCAGTGTTAGTTCTCACTTATTTTTGTGCCTTGCTGGTGACCCGGCGTATCTTTTATTTTTGTTCCGACTTGTTCAGCTGGAGGCTCAGAACCGGTGTTAACTCCAGCCATGGATTGATAGGTGACATTCGGCCTTTTACATTAGAAATGGATGGTACAGTGCATACGGCCATTAGCAAAAGCCCACTCACAGCTGTACTCGTTTTCCATGGAATAATAAAATTCAGTCTTCCCTCCTACAGTGCTCGTGCGCCTCTTAAAATCCTAGGAAAGGCCTTTTGAGGTTTCCCTTCAAGTCTCCTCCAGAGGACAGCTCATCTACGAGATGCTTTCATACATGTTAATACTCACACTTGCTCGTGTGAATGTTTTGTTTCCTTGCCCGTGCTTTATTACGTAGTAGTACCTTCATGCTTTGCGACTGATGTATTGACTGTGTATTACTTGTCTAGAAGCATTAAAGCTCTAGTGCTGATGTCTTGAAGAGCTTGATTTAGACTTCTGCTTGAGCTCTAATTGCAGACAGCGAGGACAGAAATAGCTCTTTAATGACAAAGTCACCACCCTGCCAAATGTATTTAAAAGCATATAAACATATGTCTGATAGGATATAAGCCAACTGTTAGTCCCCTGTTATTTTTCTTCCCTGCAGCATAAAAGAGTAGCTTGGTAACCATTCTTCATGAAGACATCTTTTTTCAACATCCTTCCCAGTATAAATCATCAATATATTCATTTCCACAGCTGTCCCTCAGTTCCTCAAGTCACCAGCTCACTAGCTCCAACAGTAGCAATGTAGGAATACCCAAATAGGCAAATAACCTCATTTTCCAGCAGAAGCCTGGCCATAGGCAGAGGTCATGATGGGCTGTGGAATAAAGGGACAGCAGAAGAAGTACTGAGCTTTCTGTCTGCGGTGAGCTTTGTGATGCTGTAGCCTGATTACTACTCATACTCAAACTTGCCAGTTGATGAACTTGCTCATACATCAGTACTAACTGCAGCTACGCCAGCAGCTGTGGGATTTACTGGTGCCACTGCAGCCACAGAGGACTACATTTTCTCTCCTGCTAGGCAGAGCTTGCAGGAGCAGCATATGGGATGAGGACATTAAAAGATAAAACACGCAGATCTGGAAACTTCTCAGATTTCCCTCCTCATGTCTCCCAGCCATTCTGTGTCCTGGGAATACACCTCCTTTTTCTTCTTTTGAAACAAAGAAGCTTGGTATCCCCCAAGATTCGCACAGACCTCGGAGATGGGGCCAGGTGAGAAGGTCACTGTATGCTTTTGGTGGGTATTTCAGGTCTGCCTTTTGACTTTGAGAAGAGTCTGGCTGCCAGTGGCTCCTTAGGCAGCTCTTCCAAAGAAGTGTTCCAGAGTTAGGACGGGGGAAGAATCATGCAGAAAAGGAACTATAAAATAAAAACATTTTTGGAGTAAAGTTTAGTGCATTTCTTATATAAGAAGAAATAATAATAATAAAAAAATCTAATGAAGCAGGACAGGATTTAAAATATTGCACAAGTTTACCAAGAAGTTAGACCACAAACAAAAGGAAAACAATTTGCATTTTGGTAGTCAACTTATAAGGGGACACATGGCTCCTATAGATGATTTGAAAGTGAAATCTGATTTGACTGGGGTTAGTGTTTGCGATAACTGACAGGGCTAAGTTAAGTGTCGCTCAGTGGTAGAGTGCTGGACTGAACTTGCCAGAGAAAGCTCAGGAGACCCTCGGGAAGAACAGGCACATTTACTTGCAGAGGACAGTTTAACAGAACAATTAGGCTTCAGCCTAATTGACAAAATCTGTTTTAACAGCAAATAAATTCTGTGTAATAGCCTCAGAAGGTACAAATTATCAGAACTAAGAGCAGTTTGTTGTTTTCCTTTTCAAATGCTTAATAATTTTAAATTTCTTCAGCTACTGATTGTATTTCACCTTGAATGAATGAATGCCTCATTTTTCTTCACCTGAGAGGAAGTATCTCTCTGATCTTGTGTTTCTTCGATACAGCATTTCCTTCTTTCCCTGAGAAGAAAAATGAGCTGGGGATTCCTTCGTGATCTGCTGAGTGGAGTGAATAAATATTCAACGGGAATTGGAAGAATTTGGGTAGCAGTTGTGTTCATATTCCGCTTACTGGTTTACATTGCGGCTGCAGAAAACATCTGGAAATACGAACATGATGAATTTGAATGCAACATCAAGCAGCCTGGTTGTGAAAATGTCTGCTTTGACCATTTTTTCCCTGTCTCCCACATCAGACTTTGGGCTTTGCAATTAATCATGGTCTCCACCCCTTCACTCTTGGTTGTTTTTCATGTTGCTTACCGAGAGAACAGAAAGAAACACCACAACCAGAAACTTTATAAAAGTCCAGGAGAGATAGATGGTGGATTGCTGTGCACTTACCTCATCAGCCTTATTTTAAAAACAGGACTTGAAATACTTTTTCTTGCTCTGTTTTATAAATTGTACAATGGATTCCAAGTACCACGTCTTGTGAAATGTGACCTAAGGCCGTGTCCCAATACCGTAGACTGCTATATTTCCAAACCCACGGAAAAGATGATTTTCCTCTATTTTCTGGTGGCAACTTCATGCCTGTGCATTGTATTAAATCTAAGTGAATTGAGTTACCTCATTTTCAAATACTCCATAAAGCGTTATCTGAAGAGATACAGCAAGAAACACCAAGGCCCAAAAAGTGATTGCCACAAATCAGAAATCTTTGGTTATGACAGACCAGCAGCTGCAGAACGGTTCCACAGCAGCCCCCCGTCCTGGCCTTTGAATATACAAGATGAACGTGAAAAAAATTCCCCGTTGACTTGAAAGAAGAGATCTCCTTCCTGTTGCACAAGCTGTATTTGACTAATTGCTTTTCCAATCAGTGCTTTACAGAACTAAAAGGATAGTTACGTAGGAAATACTTTTTCTCTGTTAGTTCCCCTTACTTAAGCGGATAAATTCAGTCACATTATGTATGTCATACATATAATTATCTAGATCTTTTCATGTTGAAACAAGAGGTGCAGACGTCTGAAAATTCCATGAAGTTTTAATATAAACACAGATGCTTATGATAAACTATGCTGAAACAATTGCTCAAACAGTTGTGTGTTGAATATTACACAGAATTGCTTTGGTACAAGCAAAAAGAGGCTTTTTATATGCAGAGTTGGAAGAACCTGGGACTGATGAAGATGCGGAACAGTAATGGGATGTTCAGCATTTATCAGGTGGGTGGATCTGATAACTGTTGAAATAGTGACCGGGAACCGCTGGCATACAGTGGCTGCTGGTGTCTTGAAGTGAGCTGGATGGTCACAAGCCCGTTTCACTGGACTACTGTAAAACATCTCAAAAAAAGAAAAAAAAAGAAAAAAAGAGGTAGACACATCTAGTTTAGCCCATGGTGATAAAGAGAGACCTGCTTATTTAGCTGTTTGTGGAGCACCTCCTCCTGGAGGTATTTGAGCCCTTTACAGTTTTTAGGGCATTTATCATCCTGTCAGAAAAGGTACTTGCTCAAATTTGCGCAGGCAGCATATACCGGAGTACGGAGTTGACTCCTGATCACCAGCGCTGAGCAGCTCCCGAGTCATTACATTTTTCTCCCGCTCCGTGGCATTTAAGGGAAAAGATCATTCTCAGTTCCCCAGGATCTGAGTAGAGAAACGTAGACCACACAATATGGCAAAACAGTAGCCCTAGTATTCAGTAGCCTGGAATCTGATCCCATTAGTAGGGCCGAAAATGCTGCTACTCCTTCAGTAGATTTTTCTGCCGTAGAAGAACATGTGAAATCTAAATGAATGAAAAGCCTCCAGTAGAAAGAAAGTAAAAAAGAATCACCTATTCACTCCCCCCAAATTTCAGATCTCTTGAACACCACCCACCTCTGCTTTTTCTTCTGTGCGTTGCTTGGGCTAACATGAAAGGGACAGAAATTGGCTCAGACATGACTTTTGTTGAACCTAGACTTCTGAGATGACAGAAATTAGGGCCTAAAAGAGTGCCTTACTTCAGGGTGGTGTTCTCTTGCCGTTGCTGGGATGAAAGACGTTTGGACATACATCAGTATTGAGCCTGAATGCAATCATTAGAGAAAAACACCACCTGCAGTAAGTGGAGCTGCCTGAATGTAGAACTGATTTTATTGTTCGTGCCAGGATAAAGGGGAGGAAACAGTTGCAAAAGCACATTGACTATTTTTTCACTCAAAAAAACCCCAGCTTTGGTTACAAAGCATTACTTTTACGAGTACTGGGGTAGCAGTTACAGAATTAAGAACTAATGAATAAACTATGTGCTTTTGACTGTGATTTCCAAGCTTTTTCACTAAAGTAAACCTGCTTTTATAAAAGATGAAGACACGTTTGCTGCCGCTGAACTTCACAGCGAAGCAGTCCCTCAGATACGAGCTTGCCAGCTTGTGGCCAGTTAAAGTTTTACATCTCGAGGGAGGCTGAATCAGTGTGTAGATCGAGACAACGTGCTTTACACAACTCAGAACATTTTCTGTTAAATCTCTACATGCACAGAATGTGGCTCATGATAGAAATGCCATCAGAAACTCTTTTGCAGCTACTGGACAAAACCCACCATGGAGTGCATGAAGCAAAACCATTGACCACCATTGTTTGAGTAACTGAGAACAAAACCCAAAATTATTTTGGTTCTTTTGTACCTTAATGCATCATTTTGTAAGACAAGGGCAAATGCTTCCAAAATGACTGGTTTTTAATTATTGAGGACAGATTTTAAAACAGCACATTAATGGAAAAGTATTTATTCATTTTTTTTTAAAGCAAAGTTTATTTGAGAGAAAACGAACAGAAGCAAACACAGTTTAGCCAACACAGGTTTCTGACTAAATTTGTGCATTAGCGGCTCCCTAATAAAAAAGTATATTAAGTCAGGGCTTGAAGGGTTTTAGAGCATCCCTTAAAGCTCTGTGGCTGGTCAGAGCTTCCCTCTTAGACAAAAATTTTCCTGTGAAACAAGAACTTTAACTCTTTGGGACGTATATTCAAGGTCTTCAGCGGCCATGAAATGATAAATAAATTCCCAAATCAACAGGTTTCAAGTCTTGGAGGATACTTCAGTTTTGACAAAGCCAGTACCTTACACGAGAAACACTCTGAAAAATTATCATGGACCAACTCTGTGTAAGCGCTGACTCACTCGTAGCGAACAGCCAGGTGGCTTTTACACCATGTACTGCAAACTTAGAGGAGTGTTTGACAAAGCCACCAGTGAAAAGGAAACAAGCATCACACAAGGCGGCTCCGTCAGATTTTGCTTAACCTGAGAGAACAGAGACAAATCCATTTACTTTGTGAACCCTGGCTCTTGGCCAGCATTTGGTCTTTTACTGGCTCCTTCTCTTCCACAGCTCTTTTCTCACCTTTATAATCCTTTGTGCTCCAGTTTAAGTTTCACTCATCCGTCCATCCCTGAAGTTGTTTGCTCGTACATTTTTGGTACAAATGAGTTTGTAGACTAAAAGTTTAACGGCTTTTTTTTTGTATGTATTGAACTTCCAATTCACACAAACAGACAAAATAAATAAAAAAGTGCTATGTTTTTTCCTTCTTTTAAGTGTCAAAGTACAGTCTCCTCAATCCCACAGCAATTGGTAGGAAGCTGACCTGAGCCCATACTGCAAAGGAACACCAACACAATCACTCCATGCACATTCATACAAAAATATTTACCTTGCTCATATTTCAAAACATGTCGGCAAATGTTAAAAGATCCAAACCTTATATAGGTCCTCATTTTCTTTAAAACCCGAGTAATGTCCTTGCCTTGTGACAGACAAAAAAGTCACAGAAAAAAGCAGGGCACGAGCAGGAGCTCCTCTAGCGCCAGTGGCCGAAACCTCAGGGCAGCGTGCCCATGCAGGTGGGAGCCCCAACCATACTAATTCTTTGGCACGGAAACTAATTGCAAGAATATAGCCAACTACTTTTCCTCACCTGAGCCAATGACTGTTTTCAGTGTTAATTTTAAAGGCTTCGCTCCATCTCTATCCAACAGCCGTGGACAGGACATGCCAGAACACTGTAGGACCAACAGTCCCCCCCATCTTGCTGAGAACGACCACCTCACAGCACGTGAGGAAAAACCCAAAACCCACTACTCTTAATTACACTGAATTAGGGCTCAGACGTCAGATTTCTTTACAAACACAGTGAACCACAAGAGAGGCTGACTGCTGGTTTAAAGATGTCTTTCCATCACAAATCGTTCTGTACGCTGCATCCAGACTCCTTGACTCGGTTGCTTCCCCGTCAGCAACAGCTGCTGCTTTAGTCAGCACATTCCTGATGGCGACAAGGGGTTTAATGGCAAGTGTCTTTGCTCAAACGCACTGGAGTTCATGGGTGACATGTTTGGAAGACAGAGACTAAAGAGGAGGAAGGAGAAAGAGGGGGACCGTGGGGCAGGGCAGGCAGCACCCACGGGTGTTGGGGCACTCCACAGACTGAGGTGGTGCTGGTGGAGCTGGGCTTGGCCACCTTGGAGCCCCATCCCACCCGGCAGCCCGGAAGGCAGGGGTACGGCTCCAGGCTCTGGAGAAGCCATCAGTTCAGGCATGCTGCCACAGCTACGAGCAGGAGGTTTTATACGTCACTCAAGGTAAAATGTCTAAACGCAAATACCAAATTTATTTCCTCAGGGATTGTTGCAGGTGGCTTTATCAAGCCACAGTGCTCTCTGCAGTCCACGACATCTTAAATCAGACCCTGCCTTCAGTCCCCCGCTTTAAGTTTAAAATATACTTTTTTAAAAAAGGAAAAAACCAAACCAACCATACTAGCTTACCTGTTGGACAGGCTGCCAGTACCCCCCTAAAAGGGAGTGTTCCTGGGAGGGCACTGACTACACTGGTACAGCATCCACTTTAATTGGATTAATTAGGATAAGAATGAGATGATATTAAAAGTTTCATTCTCAGAAATTCAGGCCCTACATTCAGATCCAAACCAGAATTTTCTGCATATTTATGACACTGGAATTTATGATTTATTGTTTTTTTAAAATAGCATTCTAGTATAGCACTGTGTAGCTACATAATTGTCTGCTATTCTCAGTCTAAAAACTGCAAATGATCATTGGGAATATCAATGTTGAAACTATTTAACTTACACGACACAAAAAGGTATCTTCTAAAAATTAACAGCTGTGAGGTCTGTCGACAGTGACTGCAGTGGTTAGGTACATCTGAAAACAAGAGATTTCAGACAAGCTTTGTGGATTCTCTCCAGAGGAGGTTCTCTGCCCTCTTCTCCCCTGCAGAAGATCCCCTCTACAATCACCACAGCTGGCATCTAACAGCAACTCCATCCAGGGAGACCGCACGGCCACTGGTAGGTAGAACATGGCATTGTACGCTTGTAACCATTATAATGGCCCCTCCTAGAGTTGGAATGCAAGAATCTGTTTTCATTTTATCATTCATTTTGTTTTATCATTCCCCATCCCTGGAAGTGTTCAAGGCCAGGCTGGATGAGGCTTTGGGCAACCTGGTGTAGTGAAGGGTTTCCCTGCCCATGGCAGGGGGGTTGGAACTAGATGATCTTTGAGGTCTCTTCCAACCCAAACCATTCTATGATTCTATGATTCTCAGACCACACCTTTGATTTACTAACTTGGCAGAATTATCACTTTAGTCACTCAGGAGGGATCGAAAGCGAGAGGAGCAAACAGGCTCTGTTCAAATGGAAGCACGCGTTTTCTGAGAGGGTATGCAATTTAGCACCAGATAGCAAACCAAGGGCTATGCCTAAGTTGAAGTGCTGTTACCTTTCTGCTTTTTCATACATAATCCTCACTCTCACAATAAGTCACTTCATTTGGTTGTAGGAATGTGCCCTCGGCATTGATATTCAAGTAAACTGTCAAAGATTCCAGGTGAATAGCTTAAGAGCAATCAAGTGTAGCATTTAATGCAAAGCTTTACATGGCAAGACAAGTTTATAAGAAAAAAAAAAATCAAGCCAATCTCTCCCAAGATAAAGACTGTGTTGTATTACTGAAGGTAGATCACATCCAGCAATGAGAATAATCCAAGAAAAATTTTTGGTACCACACAATCCAGCTGGTTTGTCCCATCCAAGTTAAGCAATCACACATGAAAACCAACACTGAAGATTCCTGGGTACTGACAGCTCCCACCAACACATTCACGCTTTTGGTTACTCAACAAACCGGATACCTGTCGTTTCGGTTAGCAGCATAGAGAGAAATTGCTCCGATCCCGGGCACTACAAGCGGCACCACTTCCGAGGCTCGTTCCAGTGTGGAAAAGAGAGAGGTGGCGAGAGTGCTGCCAGGTACAGTCAGCAAGAGGCAGAAGAGCGCGGAGGGAGCCCATGCCATCAATAGAGCACAACCACTGAGTTTATCCATAAGATCACAATCTCACTTCCCTTTCAGAAAGTGCCTTGTTTATTCAGTTTTTAATGGTATGGCATAAGGACTCACGTATTTTATAGATAGATACCAAATTGGTATTATCAAAATAAACCATCTGTTTTATAAACCCACTATTTACAAAAACGGTTTCTGAAGTTTTTTTGTTTTGTTTTTTTAACAAAAATTAAACTATACACCAATCTAAGTTACAGAAACAAAAATAACCTTTATAAGATCACATGTATAAAACAAGAAATGAAATGTGATTTTATTTAAGGCAATACTGGGCTACTTCACAAATCACCACCTCAAATATATACACTGCTCCACACTACTAATTTTCTATCACATTCACAATGGATTCTTTAATACCAAATATTGTTTTAAATCTCCAATGTAGCAAACTATTTTTATTCACATTTCCATTTTTATTATGGAATCATAAATGCTTTGTATCCAATTAAAAGCAATGAAAAATGTAGCTATAAGAAAACTATTATATTTAGGAGTTAACTACCTATGAATATCATCCATAGATATTGGATGTTAAAATTTACAAAAATGAGAGCGTGTCAGTACGTTTAACCTACGAAATGTGATCTTATCCAGCTCCTCTCCTGTAAATAAATGCTTTATGCAAAATAAACTGGATATGGCAGACTTAGCTAGTTTTAGTTCAAAAGTTCTTAATTTAAAATGATTAAAGGACAGTTTTAAAAACTTGCTTACTTAGTTACAAATTAAAATTCCGAATATAAATGTGTCATTTAATAGTTTAGACTTACAGACTGCTGGTGGCAGCAAATGATTTACAATAATAAATATATACAAAAAAAAAATGTATCTACAAATGAAGAGTACTGTTATACATGAGCAGTGACCTGGTGAAAGATACCAATCACAGACAACTCACAAAGATTTAGTTCATGGAAAGGACAATCTGATAGAAAGTTGAGGTTTCGATCAAGTATTTACAAAACTGAAGCAATTACTCTGTTCTTCAAGTCCCATAGGGATAAAAACAAATAAGAAATTTACATGACTCATGTCATGTTTTTTGCTAGATTAAATCACTTCGAAATAAAAGAACTAGCATGCTTGATGGCTTCCTATTCAAAATAAATTTAATAACAGGTCATGGTTACACATGTTATGTTTTCAGTATTTTGACTCCCCTTCCTTGGTACCCATCCGAATTACTTTCGCAGCTGTAACCTCCGGATTATCCTCCCAACGTCCTTCAAGCTTTCTCAAACTGACGATAGGTTTCATTTCCTGAAGTTGCTTCAGCACGTGCTCAGTGCAGTCTTTAAAAGCCCTGTCTAAAACCATCTTTACGTTATCACCACATGGAAGCTGTGATGGGTTGGCAAACGGTACGAGGGTTTCAGTTTCAGCACATGGCCAAGCGACATTATTACTTGCTACGGAGGTCTTCTCGTTGGATTTTCGTGAGTTCGAATGGGATCCTTTTTTGGTTCCACTGCTATGGTAGTCTCTTTCAGTGTTTTTCTTTTGCTTCACAGCAGACTCTTCAAGGAACTTGAGGAATGACACTTCAAAACCCATTGGCTTAAACGAGCTCCAGTCGAAAGCTGCTGGTTGCTCTTCGGCCGTTTGAATGGCGACAGCAGTCTCCTCCTCCCTGTGCATGCTACTCACGTCAACGGGCAGTACTTCCTCAGTCTTTTCGACTTTCCTTCTCTTATTCTGAGAAACATTTTTTTCTTTGTTTGCTCTTTTCAAGTTGTTTGATTTTTGCTTTTCTGAGGGGCAGGAGCTGGTCTCCTGCAAGTCACTATTTACAATGGAAGAGATTTTTGCTTGATTTTCAGCACTTGCGCAATCCTCGTTAATCAGTTTAGTAATGAATAGTTCTGTCAGTTCGTCCACTTCATCCTTCTCACCTTTTTCAGTTTCCTTTTGTGGTAGCGTAGATGTGCTTGAATCATTATTGCTCGCTATCAAACTCGGTTCAGGCTCTTTCACATCAGTTTTTTTATCAGTCTCCTCTTGCTCACAAGAGGCTTCCTTTACTTCTGAGACAGAGAGCTTTTTGGATACAATAAGAAGATTTCTGTGTTGGGAAGTAAATGCTTTGGACAGCTTGTGACACTTATAGTGCCTTATGATGTTACTTTCGCTTGTCACTACGGATGAACATCCCTTTATCATACATGGATACTGAGTCATGAATCTGCTCGTACATTCCGATAAGGCATCGTTTCTAGCCTTTATTGAATACACGTGCTTGCCGCGTTTCAGTGAATAAGCCTTATTTTCTTGAACTTGCATTCCTTTCGAGTTTTTGTTTTCCAAGTTCACGTTTTTCTTTCGTTTTGTTTTCACTGACAGCCTGTTACCTTCTTTTCCTGATCTGTTTTTTAGTCCTCTCTGTTTGGACTTCAATGGTTTCTCCTGATTTGCTTTGCTTGAAATGTTTTCCTGACCTGGTGTCAGCCTCCTGGGTCTTATCAGATGATCTTTATGCTTGTCATTATGTTTGTTAAAAATATGCCTCAAGAGGTTAGACCTAGTAGCATAAATGCGGTCACAGCCTTCACAGTCACACTTGAATACGTTGTCATCTTCTACTTTGTTTGGTTTTATCTTAATACCGTGATCTGCCTCAAGATGTACGACGTAGTTAAGATACGCTGTAAACGAAGACTTACATTGAGACTGATCGCAAGAAAACCTTCCCGCCTCTGGCACCGATTTCATGTTTCCAATTTGCTCTGGGGTCATGTCATGAAGCTTCATGTAATGTTGTATCAAGCTGGTAACTTCCTGGAAGATGCGAGAGCAGTCGCTCACCTCACACCTGAACTCTCTGACGGCGGCTTTGGTTTCCACGTCATCGCGTTCCTCTTTGCCTGGCTCGTTCTCCTCCTCCACTTCAGCAGAGAAGGCAGGGAGGTCCGATTTGTGCACAGCTTGGTAATGAAGGATTAGGTTTTGTTGTATGGTAAAAGCCGCGAAGCAGCCCTGATGGACGCACCGGTATGGTCTGTAAGGGCTGTATCTAGTGGGAAACTCCAGAGATTTTGTTACGGGCTTCCTACGTTTTCTATCCTCTTTTTCCTTCCTGTACCTCCTAACCTTGTGTACTTTGGGTTGTGCCTGTGTACTAGCAAAAGAAGTCACATTGTGCTGTTCTGGTGGAACAGAAACCACTTGGGGAGGTTTTTCCAGTCTTTCAGGAATATTATTTTCTGGTAGAAGGTTTTCCAAGACTTTTACAGGCTCTACAACTTCATTTATCTGAACTTCTTTGACCAATGGAGCTGCAGTTTTGTTTTCTATTATTAGTGTCTGCAAAGTTTTTATTTCAGCAGGCCGCGGGGCTGTATTTACAGTTTCATTTTGAGACCTTCTGCCATAAGGCCTTTTAATTTTTAATTTTACCATCTCCTCTGTCGTAAAATGATGTACAAGCTGACAGTGTGCTCGGAGATTAGAGTTTCTTGTGAATGTTTTTGGACAGGTAGCTACAACACACTTGAACGGGGCATACTTCAGTTGATGTTTCTTAATTTCTAGTATCATTTCTGCAGTGTACTGATGAATCTTGCCATAGTGTTTAAATAATGCGTCTTTTGTCATAGCACTGTAATTGCAGCCTGGATCCTGACATACAAAAGGCTTATTAACTTTATCACTGAACTGAATGTTACTTGCCTCTGAAGATATCTGGACAAGGGGTTTGTTTTCAGTTGATACAACAGGAACTGCTGGTGCTAGCGTATCTGCTGGAGGACATTGGGCAACAGTCTCAGAGACCTGAATGGGTGAATCATTTTCTAGCTTCAGTTTTTTCAAGCCCTCCAAGATTTCTAGTATTTGAGTATCATCCTTTTGAGACGCCTCAGTCTGAGCAGAGCTACTCTTTGCAGCGGTGACGTTCCCTGCATGCACAGCAAACTGCGTGGGAGTGGGTAGTTTTACACTATGTGCAGAATTTCCCAAAGAAGCCTGTGCATTATTTACTTGCAAGTTCTGTCCTGAAACAGCGGCGGTGTCCTGAATTTCAGCTTTCACCTCAAATATCTGTGAATTCATAGCAGTTTTAATTATTTCCAGGGTTTTTTCGAAGTTCTGCATAACATTGTCTTCTGAAACCTGTTCCTCCGAATTTGCTTGTGCACAAGAATTTACAGCCATCATCTGGGAATCCCCATTTTCAGTTTTTACTGTTAAAGGGGGTAATGTATGAGCCTCGAGATTTGTTTTGAAGTTCTCTTTGATACTGGCCATGAATAATTGATTGTCAACATTATTGAGTTTCTGTGTGAGATTTTCCACCACTGCTTGAGCGCCACAATTTGCCAGCAAGTTGGACTGAAAACTTTCTCCCTGTATTTGCATGTTTCCTTCGGTGCTTTTGGTTAGAAGTCCCATTGTTGTTGTATTATTTACTGCCACTTTCTGTGATGTATTGGGTGCAAGCAAGGGAGTAGTTGCTTTTCTTTTCCTCTTTGAAGCACTGGTTCCCTTCTTATTCAAGTTGCTTGATCCTGAATTCTTGGGACTACTTATAACTGAAACTCGTGAACTGTTCCCTGCAAAGTTTTGCGCTGCTGCAACAGTGTTAGAAAACGAGCTAGGACATAAGCCATTTTCAATAGTCTTTAGCATTAGGTCCTCCGTTGCAAAAACAGGCAAACTCTTGCATTCATTTACTGGAAGAATTTTGGCATTGAGGGTCCTGTTTTGGTCTGTTAGCAGGGTACTGGGGTTACAGACTGTCTGCAGCAGAGGGGATGCGGTGGAGTTGGGGAGAACAGCTGCACTTATCTGGGTCGTACCAGTGACGCAACTTGTTGTAACTACGTGTGGAAGTACTTCTGTGTTATCAAAGGTACTCGGAATGCCGGCAGTTTCCAAGGCTTGTTTTATAATTTGATTTCCCTCCTCATTCCCACCGGTATTAAAGTTAGCCCGTGGAAACATAGTCTGCAGTAAGGCTGTGGAACGATTTTCAGCCGCAAGTAACTGGAAGAACGATGGATCTTTAAAACACATCTCTGGATTGAAGGCAGACTCCTGGGGTTGCTGCAA